GTGCCTGTGCACATTAGTTAGCTCTTCCTACTTAGAAATAAAATGTGGTTGTAACCAGAAAGAAAAGTGAAGAAATCTGTTTTATCTTCATCAATGGCCTCAGTCAAACGTTCTCTATTGAGCAATGAGCTCTGTTCTCCCTACTTGGACAGACGTAGAAGTTCTATTCCATGGGTTCCCCCTGACACTTGGACTTCTAAGCATATATTCAAAGATAAACTTGTTCTTTTGTTCATTAACAGCTGACCTTAGCATCTTTAGGCTAATGGGAAAATGGCACCACTCCAAGGCGTGGCCCCTTTGTGAGAGTTCACAATGACTCCCAAAGGGGGCCCTAAGTCTTATTCCCAAGATGATGCCATCTCTGTGCCCCTTCCTCCATATGGTAGGGATATGGCAGTTCTCAAGCCAGGCTAGCAGGGGCCGTGAGAGATGACTGTGTCGAGCCCTTATAACTCATGGCATTTCCTTTTCCAGACAGAAGATGTGGCGGGGAGCTGGGAGATTTCACAGGATACATTGAATCCCCAAACTATCCAGGCAATTACCCAGCCAACACCGAGTGTACCTGGACCATCAACCCACCTCCCAAGCGCCGCATCTTAATTGTGGTCCCTGAGATCTTCCTACCCATAGAGGACGACTGTGGAGACTACCTGGTGATGCGGAAAACCTGTGCGTCTCACCCTCTGCTTCCCTCCCTTCCTAAGGCCAGCTGGGAAGCCTGAGGACCTGCTCCCCGGGCTTTAAATGTGAGGAGAAGGCTAGACTGTCACCCCCGTATTAGAACAGAGATGGGGTGTAAGTTTATAGAGTTGCCAAGGAATGACACATAGACTAAGGGCTGGAGATGTATCTCCTTCATAGGGCACTTACCTAGCATGTGCTAGGCCCTGGGTTTAATCCCCAGTGCCAAATTAATACTATTAATAATCAATTTGACTAAAACCATACATCAAGGCCTTTTACTGAACCCCAGAGGCAGGGACCCTGCAGGTCATTCTTCCCTTCTGTACTCAATGGGATTTTTGGACCCTCTCCTCTGGGACATGGAGAGGAAATGAGGCATGTGCACTGCTGGCTCCAGATACTGCCCCACGCTGGATAGCAATTCCTGACTTGGGGAGGGACCAAGGCATGATGCCAGAGGGGCCCCTCCCTCTATCCTGACTCATGACCCAAGATCCATAAGGGATGCCACCATCAACACAGCTTAGCAGTGGGCTTAATTCCAAATCTGAGTGGGCTTAATTCCAAATCCACCTCTTATTGGTACTGTGATCTGGGCACTGCCATCTCCGTAATGATTAAAGTGGGGAAATGATAACTGCTATCTCACAGGGTTATTAGATGGACTAAATTTGTTAAGCACTTAAGAAAAATAATGGCAAGCCAGGCACAGTACTATATACCAGTATTCCTTTCTACTCAGGAGGCTCATGTGAGGGGATTGCTTGAGCCCAGGAGTTCAAGACCAGCCTTGGCAACATAGTGAGACCTCATCTCAAAAAAAAATAAAACCCAAAACAAAAACAAAAACAAAATCAATAGAATAATAATAGCACATTGAGCTACTATATAAATATTTCCTTATTCTTATTAATGGTTACAATGTCTGATGTCAGGCGAAGATTTGAATCCCAACCTTATCACAGACGGGCTCTGTGGCTCTAGGTGCGTACTTATCTCTCTGTAAAAGAGTTAACAATTGTACCCACTTTTTGTGGTTTGCAGAGGATTAAATGAGAGAAAGTCCCTAAAATGGGTATTAGCACACTTCTGGGTCTTGAGAAGCATGCATCAAATGGGAGTGAGTGATATTAGATAACGGCAGCTGGGCTCTGAAATTCAAGGGCCCTCTCCCCACCTCTGCAGTGTGCCCAGCCACAGGCAGCTCAAGCCTAACCTTCCCTGGAGGCTATTCTATTCCCAGTGCTTTACTGTTAGGATGAGTCAGCTAGACCTAAAGGGCTCTTCAATGTACCTTGTTTTATGGTTTGAGTGTTTGAAAAGATGAGGATGCATTGTCTGCCCACTCAGTGACATCTTAAATGACACCCTCTGCAATTTCACTCTGCAGCATCGTCCAATTCAGTGACAACCTATGAAACCTGCCAGACCTACGAACGCCCCATCGCCTTCACCTCCAGGTCAAAGAAGCTGTGGATTCAATTTAAGTCCAATGAAGGGAACAGTGCCAGAGGGTTTCAGGTCCCATATGTGACGTATGACGGTAAGCACCGTGAAGCTCGGACAGTAACACATGGCAGAGGCGGCTCTAGTTTGAACAGAACCAATTTCTGAGCCAGCTGGTAGATTGCTGACAAGCACACATGCTCAGAAAGGCAGCCATGGTGAGGGGAAAGAACATCGCTGACTCACAAGTGCCACATTTTAAGCGGGCATTTGGGGACACTGACTACAGGGATGAAAAGATGGTTTAGAAGATCAGCGTAGTGGATCATGGGCATTGAAGTTAGGCAGCCCGGCTATTATCTCATCTGTGATTTTGTGTACCATCTCCAAGCCTTCCTTTTTTCTTTCTTCCTCCTCCTCCTCGTCCTCTTCCTCTTCCTCCTCCTTTTTTTGTTGCTAGGCTTTGAATTGAGTTCACATGCATGTTAAACCCACACTGTACCACTGAGCTACACTCCTAGTCAAGTCTCATTTTCTTAATGTTTGATGAGGATAATCATTAGATTTAATGTGAGAGTTCCTAAAGGACTTGGTGCAGTACCTGGCACACAGTAATTGCTCAATAAATACTTCTTATGATTATAGCATTTATTGTACAGAATCCTGAAGGAGGAAAAAAGGCCTGAATTCTGGTTCTGGCTCTGCCACTGACTTTCTTTGTGACTGTGCAAGTCAGAGGATGCCTCTAGTTTCATTTTCTTCATTTTCAATGAAGGAGTGGTCCTCCTGAGCCCTGGGGCCCAACTCTCTGAGTAGGTTGATGAACATTTATGGAGCATAAAATGAATTATAACTTGTCCTAGAGGGCTTCATAGTCTAGAAGAGAAAAGTCATCTGTCCATTCATGAACATATTCATGCATCTACCCAACAGATATTTAATGAGCCTCTGCTAGGCTAGGAATTGGGCCAAGTACTGGAGACAATCTGGTTAGTGATATGAACACAAAACTGTATATATTGTCATAGATGCTTTAACAGGGCATATACACAGCACTATGAGCACAGAAGGGGCGGCAGTTATTTTGCATGGATTTTTGGAAGGAACAGAATACAGTCTGAACAGATTTGGGTCATAATAAAATATAGGGGGCATAAATGGGGAGGAAGAATATTCAGGAAGAAGGAAAGGCCAGAGGATGGCACGTGTAGGGTCTGATTTGACCAGTGAGTGGGGAGCATGGGGCTTAACAGTGAAAGGAGGTGAGGTGGAAAGGGCCTCGAGGGCCAAGTTGAGGAGAGTAGACTTAATCTTATAGGGAGCCATTGGAAGTTTTTAGGCAAAATGCAAAAACTAGATGTTTAGAAAAAATAGCATTCTCTGTCTCTCTTAAAAACACTTCACATAATTTATTTCCAACATGTGACAACAGCCAAGATCATTATTCCTGTCCTGCAGTTGCCTAAAATAATGTCAAACACCCAAGACAAGGGCTTTTAGTGTCTGACTCCTGGAGCAGACACAAATGCGTCCCATATGCCTCTGCTGAATGAGACAGAGAGCCTAGTCATCCACCTGGAAGCAGCTAATGGGCAACCTGTCCTGTGGGAATTAGGAAGGAAGCAGAGCAGACGCAGGGGCTCCAGAATACATGTCGCCAAGGCTCACACAGTTTAGTGTAGCTGTTCTCATCTCTGCCTTGGTGACATAGAAAATATCTTGATTTTTTTTTTATTAAGAAAAAGAGTTGTAGCTTGAGCCAGGGCAAGTTATACATAGTCCTGGATAGGCCCATGACCAGGCATGTATCATAGCAGTAAAACTGCCACTTTGTCCCTCCAGAAGCCCCTCAGGTCCTTATTCAGGTTTATATTTTAAAACTTGTATTTTTGTATCTGATTTCAAAGCCCAAAAGACTAGAAATCACAGTCAGAAGGTGTGGTTGGGGCTCCTGACTGCCACAGAAGGGAGAGGATTACAGTCCTGGCAAACAAATACTGAGCATTCTTGAGCACTAATATGTCCTGAGGCACCTTTTAATGGTACAGTCCTCATAGTCACTCCCTACATGACACATTTGTTTCCTGGTTTTACAGATGAGGCCATTCAGGCTTAGACATTTAAGCAACTGGCTTAAGGTCATAGTATGACAAAGACACAGAGCTGGGATTTACCTTTGTCTTTGGGACTCCAGAGCCTGGGTTCCCACTTGCAATGCTTCTCTGCTTTTCCTAAGGCCTGGAGCAAGGAAGGAGACACACTAGCTCTTAGAAGCAGAGGACATTTTTTTTTTTTTCTAAACAGCAGTTTAGAAGCATTTGGTGCAGTGGCAAACTGCTGTCTAGAATATTACAACCATCTACATTCCTAGGGGTCAACTCCCATCAAGGACAGGAGCCACTCCTCTGAGGTAGAGACATTGCAGCAAGGGGATTCAAGATTTAAAATTAAAAAAATAATAATAAAATAAAACTTGTACACTTGCTCATATTCAATATTCACTAACATAAAAGGAGAATGATACCACATTAGTAGAGTAGCAATGACATTGTACAGGCACCAAATTAGTAATTATATATAATATAGTGTTAATTTCCACTCACCATCTCTTGACTGAAAGGAACTTTTCAAGAGCTCCTCCCGCACAATTTCAATGATGTTCTCATAATTCGTGTGGCTTTGTAGCACATGATATGCATACAAAGAGGCATTTTTAATGTCTGGGATTTGGAAAAGATTGTGCTTTGCATATGCTTGATTTGAATTATGACTGTGGGAAAGAGACTAGACTGTAAAGGGGGAGGGCTTCATTTAGAGAAGGATTATCATGTGCACTGCATTTAATGTATATCAGGACAAAAAATTATCAGTGAAAAAATGAACAGTGCTTTCTTCCTCTCTGGCCAGCTGAATTCTTTACGCTCAGCCCCAGTCAAATAAAGGAAAGATGAGTTTTGCTTATTTGATAAGAAGCTTGATTGTTTAATGCTAAACAAGGACAGAGGGAAGGGAGGTAGAGAGGGAAAGAAAAGCCCGGATGAGCTCCCCATGGAGTGCACACAAACGGAGAAGAGCAGAGCACCAAAGACTGAGCCCTGGAACCCTCCTGCAATAAAAGGCCAAGGAAAGGAGTGAGCAGCCAGTGAGGTAGGAGGAAAACCAAACAGCAAAGTATTCTGGAAGCCAAGAGAAGAATTTGATCAAGGTGGAGGGTGTGACCAGCAAGTCACATGCTACTGATATGTCAAAGGTTGAAGGTCATTGCTGATCTCAACCAGCAGTTTTGGAGGAGTGATGGGGGACCAAAGATGACTGGACTGGGTTTAGGAGAAGAAGAGAATTGGGTACTGTGAGTGTTGACCATTCTTTTGAGGAGTTTTTCAGCAAAAAGAAGCAGAGAAGTGGGGTGGAAGCTGGAGGGAGAAATAAAGTCGAGGGAGGGATTTTTTTAAAGATCTGAGACATAACTGCCAGTTTGTATGCTGATAAGAAAGATCAGTAGAGGATTTTTATCATGTAGGAAAGAAATCAGAGAATTACTGCCACAGATGCTCTTGATTTAGTGAGGGAAGATGGCACTGGAATGCCAAGTGGAGGGATGGGCCTCAAGTGGACACAAAGAGGGCTCATCTGAGAGAAGAGAGGACAGGGAGACAGGGGCAGAGGTCTGTGGCCAGTGGAAGTGATAGAAATCTGCATGGGTGTTCTCTGATGATTATCTTTTCAGTGTCAGTGTGGAAAGTATTCTGAGATAGCCACAGAAGGGACTGAGATAGCCACAGAAGGGACGCTTCTCAGAACCTTATCAAAAATGAAAGAGCACATTTGGAGATAACTAAACCATAAGAATACAAAACATGTCCTTTATTCCAACAGAAGACTACCAAGAACTCATTGAAGATATTGTTCGAGATGGCAGGCTCTACGCATCTGAGAACCACCAGGAAATACTTAAGGTGAGTACTTGTCTCTAGTGGACATGGTGTTTTTCACAGAAATCCCCAAGTACAGTCTTGAAGTCTTTCCTGCTCCACTCTGTCGTCACCTCTCAGACTCGGAGACTGCCCTTGACCAATGCTCAGTTTCATAACTTCCCCAGTCATGATTTTTTTTAATTTATTTTTTTGGTGTAGATGGACACAACACAATGCCTTTATTTTTATGTAGTTCTGAGGATCGAACCCAGGTCCCTCCCGTGCTAGGTGAGCACTCTACCGCTGAGCCACAATCCCAGCCCCAAGATAGACATGATTTTTTTAAAGAACAGGCTTCTATTTTCAGTGTTTTCAAGTGAAGTTGTATTTTTCAATTTGGAAATTTGTAAAGGGACAGTTTTGAGGAAGACTCGCCTATAAATTCAAGACAGTGGTATATAGTATATATAGTGGAATTAATATATATATTAATTCCAAATAGTGGGGAACCTTTTTCTCCATATTTGTCCTTCATAAAGTCTACCAAATTTTACTTATATTACTTATAAATAATTAGCAACAAACACTTGCTATATCACCAACTGTGTAAGTATCCCCCAGCTCCCCATTTTACATTTCATCTAGCTGAGAAAAAAATCAGGGTTTTTTTGTATATTAAATATTCTTTATAAAAATAATGCATACTTATTAGAGATAATTATAAAAAATGAAAACTGGAAAGATAAAAATCGGAAGAAACAATTTTCACAAAGTGTTTTTTAGTTAATCAAGCTACTGCTTAATACTGGGTCATTATAGTTTTGTTGGCAAAATGTCAGGATGTTTGACATTTGGCCCAGTAACAAAAATTCTGTTCTCTTTAGGATAAGAAACTGATCAAGGCTCTGTTTGATGTCCTGGCCCACCCCCAGAACTATTTCAAGTATACAGCCCAGGAGTCCCGAGAGATGTTTCCAAGATCTTTCATCCGATTGCTACGTTCCAAAGTTTCCAGGTTTTTGAGGCCTTACAAATGAGTGCCCACATGCCACAAATGTTCGGCTGTGGGCTTGGTGGGATGGAGCCGTCTGTCTGCCTTCCACACAGTTCGGATATTGCCGTCTCCAGTATCAGTGACTCATTAGAGTTAAATTTTTATAGATAATACAGATATTTTGGTAAACTGCACTTGAATTTTCTTTCCCAACATTGTGGAATGGCTTTGAGTAGCACCGACTTCTCACTGCGATGAGAAGTATGACCAGATGTCTCAGGTCCTGCAAGGGCTGGCTGAGCTAGACTTCAGTCAGTGCAGGTGAGACTCACCCCACTTGGGTCTCTCTCCTCCTCTGGAGTCTGTAGTAGTGAAAGGACACCACAGAAGGGCTGCTCTGTCTGAAACATCAGCTTTCTCCAGCCTGGGGCTCCCTAAGGCAGCCCTCCGAGCCCCTGTGCAGGTTCTGAGCAGGAAAAACAGGCAAGGAGGGAGGGAGGGCGCCATCCACCCACTCTGAGACCTGAAAGGACTCTGTTTTCCACAGCCTTCTCCAGCCTGTGTGAGATAAGTTTGATCTCAGGAGCTTGAGTTCTAAGCTGTGATCATTTTTTTTTTTTTTAAATACTGAAAGCCAAAAGAATTAGAAATAAACCTAAGCCCTTCTGGAGAATTAATAGTGTATACATGTTGCCAGCTCCCCTCTCCTACCCTGCAGCAAATGCACACAGCTGGTTTTAGCACCTTTCTTTGTGCCCTCAGACATGGCTGAGCACCCAATTAGGGCTTAGAGAGTTTGGGTGGATGCAGTCTCCTTGGTGGATGAGAATTCACCATCATCAAAAGGAGATTTCACCAACCCTGGTCAGTATAGCCAAGGGTCTTCTTTTACCCATTGTAATGAGACTCTGGCTTGGGATTTAAATGTTTAAAAACGTGATACTATTAAACATGCAGAGGCCAGTGTGTAGCTGCTCCCAGTAGTGCTGCTACCATCAGAGAATGAGCGCATCCTGAACAGTACTGCCCAGAGCAGAATCCAATCTGCCCTTGGAGAGTGAGGACAGAAGGCACAGTGACAGGCAGGGCCCCATATCCCACGTGGTCCTCAGGTGCCTGCTGGGAGGAAGCCTCGTGGTCGAAAGAAGACTCATTACAATGGGTAAAAAAGAATCTTGTCGGATAAGCTGCCATTTCCTAACTGAAGAACTGAGTACACAGCCATAGTGTTTTGTTATTTCAGTGATAACTCTATACACAATTTTCTACACCAAAGTTCTAAAAACTGTGTAACAAGTTTTTTTTGAAGAAAACAAAGATGATTTCATTATTATTGAACATATTTTTTACCCCCATGTTGTTTTTTAAAAACCATTATAACATTGTTTTCTTTAGCCCTAATGAAGCTTCTTTATTTGAATGGGTCCTAAATCCCCACTCTCAGATTTCTCTTTAAAAATTTGAACATCTTCATTAAAAAAAAAAATTATTAAAACAAGCACTTGCAATTTGTTTAACTGGAGCTTGGCCTATATTTCTGAGTCTAACTATAAGATAAGAAGTTAATGTAAATAACCTGAGTTGTGATGAGACCGGTGAGGAGATAAGATGGGCTGATCTGTGTCATCCTGTCCAAGCATGTTAGTAACTTTGTGCTCATGCAAGTGTGATTCTCTATTGTCAATTCCACAAGAAATCTGGGGGTGGGTATGCTCTGGGGGTTGGAAGGAGAATGCATAAACCTGGTTGCCGTGGAACATCCTCCAGGAACAGCCTCATGCACCAGAGCTGTGCTCCTGGGACAAGCATGAGCCCCTGGGCCCTCCTGAAGCTTTCTCTCTAGACCTATCAATCATCCTAAGAGACACTTCCTGTTGGAAGGCTGGCTGACTGTGGCTGCTGTTGCTCTCTACTAACTGAAGAAATATTTATCGAACATCCCCTCTGTGTCAGGTACTGTTCTAGGCCCTAGGGAAGCACTGTGATAAGAACTAGAGTCCCTGCACTTGTGGAGCTTACATTTTAGAGGGAAGAGACAGACAACAAACAACACAAAAACAATCTGCTGAGTGGTTAATGCAATGTTGAAAATTGAAACAGGTTAATGTAATAGACGGCTGTGTTTGTGGTCTGAAAATGGCTTCTATGGGGAAATGGCACTTCAACTGAACACTACTTGGCAGGGAGGAATGAGCCTTGGGAAAATAGGGGAAGAGCATGCCTGATAGAGGGGCACCAAGTGCAGAGGCTGGGCACAGATGAGGCTGTGTGTCTGTCACAGTCTGGTGAGAAGGCCAAGATAAGGCTCAAGAACTGCACAGGGGCCAGATCACACTGGGCTGTGGCATCTGGAAGGAGTAGTTTGGGTGTAATTCTAAACAGATTGTGAAGTTTCAAAGAGGATTAAGCAAAGAAGTGAGTTGATCTGTATGTTTTTAAAGGTAGTAGCACTGACTCCCATATGGACGGATTTTAGGAAGCAAGTATAGAGGCAGAGAGTAGATAAGAAGCTATCACCAGAGACTCACCCCAGCAAAAGGTGAGGGTCTGATTTAGACTGATGGTAGTAGAAATAAAAAAAGTAGAATTCTGGGCTCTATGACTATTTTGCTGATAGAATATGGCAGAAGCAGCACTTCCAGTTTCCAGGCCTAGGACTTAAGACACTAGCAGTTTCTACTTCAATCCCTTGGGACATTTACATTTGGAACTCAGTCACTATGATTCAAGGAAGCCTTAACAGCCTGTGGAGAGAAACTTTGTCCCCATCCCTGCAGGCCAGGCAACAGCCAGCTAAGTTTGCTAGCAGCTTGAATGAGTCATCTTGGAAATGGACTCAGCCCCCAAGCGGAGCTGCCCTAGCTGATGCTTCTTGAGCAGTCTTTGTGGAACCACACACAGAAATTACAGATTTGTGAACAAAACTAATGACTATCATTGCTTTAAGTTACTAGGTCGGGGTTGATTTCTTATGCAGTAATAGGACATTTGGGAAATGGGAAGAGATTGAGAGTTCTGTTTTGACCATTCTAAGTTCAAGGTACCTATAAACTGTCCAAATAGAGAGTTCAAATAGGCAAGAGGTTATAAGAGGCCCCAGGAGAGCTCAGGTCTGGAATAAAAAATTTAATGTCATAGAATAAAGGAAACATATGAGATTTTCCCTAAATTAAGATTAAAAATACAGTTGTGTTTCCCCCTAATCCCTTTCCCTAGTCAACTACAATCCTGAAATATTAAATAGAGAATTCCAGAAGTAATTCATAAGTTTGGAATAAATTTTATTACAATATATTGGTATAGTTGTTCTACTTTATTATTAGGTATTATTGTTACTATGCTTAATTTACAAAGTATACTTTATCATAAGTATGCATGTATAGGAACGAACAGAGTATATATAGGGTTAGGTAATATCTACAGTCTCGGGTATCTGCAGAACATCTTGAAACATGTCCCCCAAGGATAAGTGGGGATTACTGTGTGTAGATGAAAAAGAGGAGCTCTGAATTCTGGGAGGAATCCCCCAGGTGGACATAGGGACCAGAACTTTGAGGAGCTGCTTATCAAGTAAACAGAAAGAAGCCAAAGCTGAGCTTCCACCTTCCCTCCAAGTCGGCAAGTTCTGTGGGTATACTCCAAGTGGGGGCAGAATCTATACAAGTCCTTCCTTCCAGCTGTGGATACTGTTCTTTAGCCATTTACTGAAGTGCTGCATCCATGGATTTGGCAACATTTCCCTTGAGTTTCCAATGCTAATGAAAGAGTGTTTGCCTTTTCACACTAACAGATGATTATCTTCACTTTGGAAAATTGCTTCCTCTGAATCATCCTCTGGGCTGTTAATTGCGTCTGTAGGCACTCACTGGATTTAGGTTTGCAGGTGATTTAAAAATGTCATGTGGTAACTTGGGAAAGTTGGTGGCTGCACAGCACAAAGCAAAGACTCACTTGCCCTCAGCAGACCTTTGCAGGAAGATGTATCAAGGCTGTTCCCTGCTGCTGAATGCAGCTGCTGGTGGACCTGTACACTGGGAAACCCAGGGATCCCATGCTAGACCCAGCTGCAATCTCTGAACCCACAGGAAATGCCTTTTACTAAGGCTGTCTGCATCTCTTCTTCCTTCTTCACAGCAGAATGGGTTCTGAGAGCATTACCCAAGTCTACACATTTTTAGCCAGCATTCGAGAGGCAAATGGTTCAGCTGAGGCCTGAGAAAAGTGGTTCCTTATTAAGTGGAGGGAGCAGCCTGGTCCACCAGCAGGGCAGGTCATCAGCTATCTTAAAGCCAGACCCTGGGAGAAGCCGGGGAGGGGGCCCATCCACAGGAAATTAGAGGCCTTGATGGGACTTTCTTTCTGTGACCACCTCCCACTCCAGAAGCTCATGAGTCCAGCAGAGGGTGACCTAATATTTGTGGTACACTGCCTCCTTCTTCTCAGGGCAGTCTTTATCAGCCTGCAAGAGACCATCCTCAGGGGACTCTTGGCCCTGCAAGGCTTCTCCTATGCTCCTAGACAGTGATTCAGCCATAAAGACATACCTACATGACAGGGCTCTCTTTCCAGAGAACACAGTAAGATCAAAATAGATTTAGAATATGAAACTACTCTAATAGGCAGGTTGCTCTCATTGAATAAAAGGGTTATGAAGTAACCTTTTTGCTTCACTCCAAATGATGACATTAACTCAAAATTGCTGGTTTTCAGATTATCTCATAAGGGTAATGCAACTATTGTCCTTTGTTACTAATCATTGTTATATGTGTGCTCATTTATTCATTTATGTAGCATATCTATTGAGGGCCTACTAAGTGCTAGGCATTGTAGGAGCTAGGGATATAGCAGCGAGCAAAATAAAGTCCCTGCCCCTGGGGAATTTAGATTACAGCATGGGTCAAGGGAACTGACAATAAACAAGTGAACATATAAATGTTCATGCACTCATTCAAGTCAAATAGTGAATTCACAGTGAGGAGAAGGATACACAGTGAGGAGAGGGGGGAGTGACTGTTTTAGGTAGGATGAGCTTATCACTGGTGTCACAAATATAAGCCCTTTCCAGGACATCAGCTCCTCAAACTAAGCCTGGCAGCACAGACCCTGGCAATCTCCTTTACTCACCCAGCAAGAACTTGGCATTTCATGTCTCACCAGGCCCAACAAAGCACCAAAGGGTGAACAAAAAAAAAAA